TGAGTCATAGGCAAGGATGAGAACAGAGTGCATATGACCGAAACGTGCTGTTAATGCTAAATCAATTCCATGTTGATTTTTCCACGTTAATATAAGATCATCCGTGATTTCTTTGATTGAAGATTGTTGTTCACTATTAAATTTAACAATGATCGGTGGAAATGATAATTTCGAATTTGCTGCTGTATGAGTCATCTGATGTTGCGTTGAGAATACTTGTCGATGAGGTTCTGCTTGCTGATGACTCGGTGGAGAAATATTACTTCTAGGACGCTTCTTGGTGGTTCTTTCGTCGATCTTTTTTCGGTTTCGCACCGGCGTCTGTTGTTGAAACAGATCTGGAACCGTCGGTGAGTCATACCCCCCGTTATGATTAATAGGCATAGCGGGGGATATATCGAAGGAGAAGATAAAAGAACGTAAGAATCGATGTTTACACTGCCTAACGATGTAAGCGAATGTGGCGAATATACGTTTGTGGTGTCTACACTTTGATAAAACAAAGAACATTCTTTGTTTTTATATTCACTTTCTAACTGTTCCATTCATAACGCGTTTAGTCGACAATAGACTGGAACACAATTATATATGAAAGCTAGAAATAGAGTTAATACGAAAATCTCTCGCTCACCACCAAAAATTGAGAATACACCATTGTCATATATACGGCCGAGGAAAATTTTCATTATATACGTTGATTTTTTAATTTTTTATTACTATATGTTTTTATCTATTCACTTATTATATATTAGGAAGAAAGCCCAGAACCCGCTGCATCTTTTGGTATATTTACATTGAACATGAAATGCAGTTTAAAATATAAATAGTATATTAGAAGAAAAAGAAGATTTTGTCTTTAATTTCATAGTGTCCATATTGTTGTAACATTTTTTTTGTTTGTCATATATCTCGGCTTAGGTAAATGATAAAAACCTTAAATTTTTTTCAAAAGATGTGCGATAGAAAGCTCTAGGAGAGCTGTATGATTGAATTTGTTTTTACCTGTTTTGATGATTATTCTTATACTCAAAATGGATAGCTTATAGGACGTAGGATATCTTAGGTCAGGATTCGCATTTTTCCTGAATGGATTCGCTATACTTAGCGCTCCAAATTAGATCACCAGCGCTCCAAGTAGACCTCAACGAGCTCTATCCAAAGCACTACTTATTTTTCACTTAACTCACTTTCAAAGTCCCGAAAATTCCAATTTACTGCAAAAAACCTAAAAAATATCACGAAATTTTAGTAAAACCTGTCGCGATTCGCACACATCAGCACTCCAACAAAACTATTCATACCTTCAAGTAGAT